TTCAATACAGTTTTGTTCCTTGTCTTTTCCTCCTTTCGGTCCAGTCGTCGTTCTCTCCCTCTCCCTCTCTCCCTCTTTCTCTTTCTCTCTTTTTCTTTCTCTTGTTCTTTTCTCGATCAGTCTTGTAACATGCTTTTTATCTTTCAATTGGTACCAAGGAACGCTTCGAAGAATTTTCGCATCGTGAAATCTTCGATCTTCAATCTTCTTGTTTCAATCTGTAAGATGCAACGTATTCCCTCCTTTTTTTTATAAGTTCGATCGAACGGAAAGATTAATTCTTTTTTTCTTCTTTTTTTTCTCGTTCTCTTTTTTTTCTTCTTCTTTCCCCCCCCCCCTCCCCCCCTCGACCCCCTACTTTACTTTCTTCCTTCTCCTTTTAAACGCGTAAAAGATAAAATTAAAATCCTTCGATAAAAAAAAATCGTGGATATCGTTGAAATAAGGGAGAACTTTAAATTTCGCGAATTCTTTTTTCACGAACGAATCTATTATCGTCTCTTTTATTTTACGAAATTTTGTTCTCTCCTTCTTCTCGTTTTTTTCCCCGCGCGCCCCCCCCCGCCACCCCCTTTTCTTTTTATCCTTTGTTAAATCATCGATTTTCATTATGCATCCTAAGTTTCATAGAGTTTTTCATTTATCGAATTCAATACGCGTATATATTGTCAATTTGCAAAACGTTTGCCGTTACCTGTTGTTGTGTCTTTTTTCGTTCATGTTTTTGTTTTCATTTTTTCTTTTTATTTCTTTTTCTTTTTTTGTTCCTCTTTTCTCTCTCTCTCTCTCTCTTTTCGCAACACGTGCATACGAATAATTTTTCTTTTACACCCCTTTGTTATCTCATATGATCGTTTGTGAAAAAATTTCAGAAGAAACACTTCGGCTTATCTTTATTACAATGAAAAATCACTTTTAACACGCGAAAGTATCGTGAGCATATATACATACACACATACACACACAAACACACATATATACACACACATATATATATATGCATATATATATATATATATATATATATATATATATATTTTAATTTTCTTTTTATATATTCTTTCTTTTGCAATTTTTTTTTCTTCTCTCTCTCTCTCTCTCTCTTTTTTTTTCTTTTTTTTCTTTTCAAAACCTGCAATTACATATTACTTTAATGATCTAAAGGAAAGATCTCTTTATATAGGTCATTGCCCATCTACATATTAATTAATGATGTTTTAAATTCGATCCAAAGGAAAAATAGTAGATTATCCTTCCTTCTCTCTCTCTCTCTCTTTTTCTCTCTCTCTCTCTCTCTCTCTCTCTTTCTCTCATCTCTCCTATCTCTATCTCTCTTTCTCTCTTATCTCGTTGAATTCAGCAGACCGGTATTAATCGTAGATGCACGAAGAGATCCAAGTAGAGATCCATTATCTCTCGACGATGCACGAATCAATTGGTTACCAATCGATCGGATAATTCGACTCGGCCTGCCAACAAGCAAACTTAAACGTTAGGCATCGACGTCTGTTACACTTGAACGCATAGACAAATCGACGAATTTATTTCCGCCAGTGAGAATGTGACTAATTCGTAGACTAATTTTGAGCTATTCTCTTTCTCTCTCTCTCTCTCTCTCTCTCTCTCTCTCTCTCTGTCTCTCTCTCTCTCTCTCTGTCTCTCTCTCTCTCTCTCTCTCTCACTCTTTCTCTTTAGCTATTTTATTTAGTAGATCGTTTGTAATAGATTACGTAGGAGGAAATAGTATAATTAGTAAAGTTTTTTCTTTTTTTCTTACGTCATTTTACTTTTAAATATTAATTTATATAAATTAGATAATCGCGAGAATTAAATCATTATTTTGTAATCTTTGAATTGTACGAATTGTTTTATTTTTTTATTTTCTTTTCTTTTTTTTTTTTTTTTTAATACAACGTAATATACACATAACAAGATAATTACGAGAGAAATAATTAATAAATGTTCGTCTTCATGTCATTTATTTTTAAATAGAATTTAATATATTTATATATATACATATATATATACACACACACACACATACACCTACACATATACTTACACATATACACATGCATACGCAGGTATAAGATAATTACAAGTAAATGTGATACTTGTACTTATATGGAACGTAATATAAAATTTCATTTTTATAGAGAAAATATGAAGATATGTAAAAGTAAAAATTCATACTTAAATAAAAATTCATAGGAAGGAAAATAATAAAATTATAATATATTATTATTTTTATAAACTTCAAAATCTTGATTTTAAATCCAATATTGTACTTTTTCTTCTTTTTTTTTTTTTCATTCGTATTATTTCGTTTGTAACTATTATAGCTTTTTATCCTACAGATACTTACATCCAGTATATATATATATATATATATATATATATATATATCCAGTATATATATCCACATAGTCCAGTATATATATATATATATATATATATATATATATATATATATACTGGACTGTGTGGACACGGCTGGTCGAACGAAAATACTCTCGTAAAATCTAATATCAACCAGTCTCTCTCTTTCTTTTTCTTTCTCTCTCTCTCTCTCTCTCTCTCTCTTTCTCTCTCTCTCATATTCGGTAACAGCATCGTTACTTTCCTATTGCGCGTTCTCGAATCTATTAAATAAATTTATCCGTGAGAATTCGAAAATCGTTTGATTTTTATTGAAATTTCAAACGTGCCACAGATGCTATATAGATATCGTACAATCGTAACGATATTATATAATCTTGAAAAACAAATTTTATATATATATATATATATATATAAAAAAAAAAAATAAAAAATAAAACGAGAGATAGACAAATATGATCGCTAACAAATCCACTAATATATATATATATATAAGTTTATTAATTAATATCTTTAGAGTATAACTTTGAATATACCGGAAATAGCATTGGGATGCACTTTGGATATATGTATGCACGTTTCGTTTTATAAATATCGTATACATAGGTACATAAATCTGTACATACATATATAAATGCATATATAGATACATGTACATAGAATATATATATATATATATGTATATATATATATATATATATATATGTATATAGATATGTACGTTTGGAAACAACAGACGAGAACTAAGTAATTTTGCTGTCGGCAGTATACCGAAGTGCAAGGAGGATACGCAGAGACAAATATCCAAAGTTGCAAGCACGGGTTCGTTCGTTCTACTCTTGTGTAGTATTATGGCTACCACGAACCACCCAATGCCTCATATTCCACCTAAATTGCACTGAAATGATGTTACCCAACATGAATGAAATGCATTTGTTCAATTGTTTTTCTCACTTTATGCAGGAGACAGAGAAAGATATAAATAGATTTGATTGAGAGAGAGAAAGAGAGAGAGAGAGAGAGAGAGAGAGAGAGAGAGAGAGAGAGAGAGAGAGAGAGAGAGAGAGTAATAATTTCATTCTAATTGAAACTCGTATGCCAAACAATTAATTTGTATGAATAAAATAAAAATTAAATTTAAATATGAAATTAAATGTAATCATTTTTATTACAAAATATATAATGTATATATATATATATATATATGTATATGAGTCGTTGATTTTGAAAGTGGGATATATTTTATGTTATTGTTAGATAAATTGATGGTTTACAATTTGAAAATGACTTAAAAAATATCGATAAACAGTAATACATTTATTTTGCATTTTCTTTTATTTATTTATTTATTTATTTTTCTTTTTTTTTTTTGTTATCTTATTTTCACATAAATTTAATATCCAATTAATAATGGTTATTCGAGTTAGATGAAAAAAAAAAAATATAAAAAAAAAGAAGTCCGTGATTTTTCTCTACACCAATTTAACTTTCAAAATCAACTCAACAATAAGTATAATCGTCGAAATAAAAATGACTAGGTAATAAATTTATATCTACATTATTAATTGTAAATTATAATTGTAATATATAATGATATATTTATTTGTGAATTGATTAAATATATTAATTTTAACGTTAATTTGTAATAATAATTATTGGCATTAATTTATACTTTTCGTAAAATAGACTTGGCCCATTTGGAAAAAGCCAATCAATTTTAAAAATTTGTTAATATATTCAAAACGAATATAAGTAAATAATTATATATATATATTTTTTAATAATATTCGTTATCAAAAATTTTCTAAGAATATATATACATATATTTTTTCTTTTGTTAATATTTTTTTTTGTAATAAACAAAATCTTAGAAAATTTTCGTACAAATTGACTGCTGTACGAATATTTTTTACACTCACTATATATATATATATAATTTGAAAAATTTTTAATTGTTCCGTATAATCTCATAATTTTATTTTATATTATCTCATAATTTTATTTTATATAATCTCCAAATTTTATCTTATCGTTTGTTTTCTTTTACATTTGTATTGATTTTTAATGTAAAAATGACTTTGCAAAGGTAAACGACCTTGCAGAATATCACACGACATTGTTATAGATAAACGTACATACGTATGTTATTGTTTCGTTTACCTGTACATACGCGTTTACGTGGTTATATCCTATGAGTAATCATTTCTAGGAATTCATCCTTGTCAATAGAAGTCGAATGAAAAGGACAACAGAGCTCAGTTGTCTCTCGTCGTTCGTCGGAGTAAGATCGTGAAGAAAGTATTACTAATATTCTTCATATTTCTATCTTATAAAAAATTTTTTAACGATTATTAAAGAATTTTACATGTTCATATATGCATGTATTCGAGATTTATTATACAAATTTTTTTATATTTATATTGTAAAACAGCGTTCGGAAAAAAATTTATATATATATAACTGTGGACACATAATATATAAATTAATTATTTTATATATATATATATATATAATATTACGTAGTATACATGTATGTATCTATATATATATATGTGTATATATTATTTGTTATATTGAAATCATACGAAATTATTTTTTGTTTCTTTTTCGGATTGTTCCAGATCAGATAAGCGATATTTGTAAAAGGAATTTCATGCAGGATCTCTATAGGAAAATAGATGGTGCAGTTTTAACGTCTAAACATGAAAGAGATCTCGATTGTGCCATCACATTTCAAACGCACAGCATCCTACAACGTTTCATGCTACGATTCGATCAACTTCAATTGGATTGTAACGATCATCTTTACATCTACGATGGTGCACATGCGGTTGGCAGTTACAAGGTAATATTTTAATAATGCCAATGCAATAATAATAATAAAAATAATAATAATAGTGATTGTTTCATACATAACGATCTAATTCATTCCGTTTACGAGCACTACGATATTTCTCGAATTAATGAGATTTTCAATATGATTATGCGACATACTTATATAATTTGCCGAATGAATTATTTTTATATTATAATAATAATTATGGATATATTATACCGATCATGTGTTATCGATATCAATCATGTGTTTTTAAAAATATCTCTCTATCTCTATCTCTATCTCTATCGTATATAATTATTTGATTAAAAAAGATGTTGACATCGAAAAGTCGATAAGTATTATAAATCTCGATAATATACTTATTATAGATCGTTTTAAGAATTTATTTCTTTTTGGAATATTATTAAAGTGGAAAGAAAGAAAAAAATATATCGATGAGATATAATTAAAGCCAATCGAAACTTTTCGATCGAATTATATATTTTGGAAATAGCCAAAATAAAGATCCGTCAATCTTAATACAATAATAAAAATTAGATCAAGATATTGATTATTTAGAATGATTAAAATGATCGTATAGTATAAAATATTATTGTTAGGTAAAATTATTCTATTTGATTTTTACTTTTTTTTTTTTTTTAGATCTCCTTCTATTCTAACAAATCATCTAACTAGTTATCGAATTGATTATACATTTTAAACTATTTTTGATACACATACACACGCACACATACATACATACATATATACATACATATATATATATATATATATATATTATATATATTTTATATATATATATAAGATATTTTTTCTCAGCTCATCAATTGAACTTCGATCCAGGAAGCCATACGAATTTTTGCGATACTTGTGATGATTAATGAGCCAGGAAGCATCTCGTATTTTTTGATTTCGATCGACGTGTTCCCTAGACACGTAATTACCGTAATCGATCAAACACCCCCTGTTCTTCTCTCTCCCTCCCTCCCTCCCTCCCTCACCTTCTCTTATACTAATTGCAAAAGGAACGACGTTATTATTTTTTCCTCATTATTCTTTATACACACACACACACACACACATATATATATATATATATATATATATATATCTTAAAAAATGCTATATTAATAAATAATAGTAATAATAATAATAATAATAATAATAATATAAGGATATATTGTAATGACGAAGATATTACGTAAAATTTATCTTTGATGGTAAGAAGGGGGATTAGGGTGTGTTACCTGGGAAAGAGGATAGAAGGGGAGGATGAAGGAAGGGGGATGAGAGATGAAGTAGAGGGGGTAAGTTAAACTAGAGAAAGAAGGATGGATAGGACCGAAGAATTTACCCTTCGTATGGCCCAACGAGATTATATTTTAATGTATTCCAACATTATAAATTCCAAGCATGGCTTGGACCGGACAAGGATGGTGGAAACTTGCTCCATTAATCAAGATTCGTTTCTTAGCGTAAAATAGATAGAGCGAGAGAGATAGAAGGAGACAGAAAGTTTGTGTGTGTGTGTGTGTGTGCGAGAGAAATAGAGAAAGAGAGAGAGAGAGAGTTTATTTTCGATACGACCTTTTTCTCGCACTCATCAATATCATTGGATCTATGTCACATTTTTTAAAAATCTTTCTTTTATTATTATTACTTTTATAATCGAAGATAAATATTTTCTCATTTCTTAATTCTCATACTTTGTTTATTTTTTTTTTCTTCTTTATTATAAATATCAATCAAAATTGTCCCTTGAAAAATTATATAAAATAATAATAATAATAATAATAATAATAATAATAATAATAATAATAATAATAATAATAATAATAATAATAATAACAATAATAATAATATATTCTCGTTATTAAAAATATTCTCAATGTTTTCAAAATTTTTTTTCTTTTCTTTCTTTTTACCTCTCTTCTCTCTCTCTCTCTCTCTCCCTTTTTTCCTTTTCTTTCTCGTCTCATTTAATTACAATTTTTTTATTTCCATAGTTAGATCGTACGATTATAATATTTCTTACGAGCTACGTGCTATTTCTATTGTATTGTATATACATACATACAATATATATATACATATATATATGTGTATGTATTTTTGTGTGTGTGTGTGTGCGAAACTAGACGACGATGCAGTTGCAATTTCTCATATAACTCGTGCAGTTGAAGAAAAACAAATAGTCCGAGGTACAATTAGCGAAATATCCGAGCAGGTTAAATTACTCTTTTCTCTTTTTTTGGCACGTAAAATTCTGTCCGCGGGTTTTGGTTGTTGGTATACATATAACGTTAACGCGAATACAACAACAACAAATGTTTCTACGTTTCTACTTATCTCTCTGTCATTCGTAAAAGAAAAAAAAAGAAAGAAGGAAGGAAGGAAGGAAGGAAGGAAGGAAGGAAGGAAGGAAGAAATGAAAACAAGAAAAAAGCCAAAATAAAAAAAAAAGAGAAAGAGAGAGAGAGAGAGAGAGAAAGGAAGTGCGGACATACGGTATATAGCACGAAGAGCAATGTAATTTTGCATAATGGCGATTTAACTTTAATCTTTTTTATGGTCTACTTAATGGCCCGTTAAGCCTGCCTGCTTGCCTGCCTCCGTGCTTCGTCCTTTTATTTTTCTCTCTGTGAACATGCCAAAAAACCTTCCTCTTTTCGTCCTCATCTTCGTACCTTCATTTTTCTACTTTCACCCTCATCCTCTCCTCTCTCTCTCTCTCTCTCCTCTCTCTATCTCTTTTACTCTCTTGTACATGTAAACAATGGGCGGGCTTGTACACACGTATACACATACACGCGCTTAAACAATGACAAAGTTACACGGTTACAATCTCACTGGAGATTTAGCAGGGGAAAATTTGTTGCTCTCGTATTATTTGATTTTTTTCGATTTGAGGTGAAAAGTTTTCATCGGGGATGAAACGTTTGGGGTAAAACCACACACGGGGACGAGTTTCTCACGGTTGGATGGTTGGATGGACGGATGGATGGATGGATGGGTAGGTGGGGTGGATTAGGTGGATGGGTGGATGGGTTGCTGGGTTGGTGGGTGTTAACGTGCGCGCACACATACGACGTGAGAGACACGACGTCGGTCTTTGGTAGTAGTGAAATCATGGCCGCAATCAAATTCACGTGCTCGAGTTGGAACTGTAACTTGATCGATGCCGTTCGAGAGATTGACTCATCGGTCGAGGAATGGCCGAGTGCCGGACAATCCATACTCGTCGATCGAGATTAATTACAGCATTCCTGCAGTCGATGAAATTCGAGAGCGTGAGCGTAAGCGTGAAAGAGAGACAGAGAGAGAGAGAGAGAGAGAGAGAGAGAGAGAGAGAGAGAGAGATAGAGAAAGAGAAAGAGAGAGAGAGAGAGAGAGAATGTGATTACATCGTTACACATTACAGACTTGCAATTAATTCATTTCTTTCTCTCTTTCTCTCTCTCTCTCTCTCTTTCACTCTCTCTTTTTCTTTTTCTCTCATTTCTTCTTGTTCTCTACGTCGTTCGAGATCTACAATGATAAAGACGTCGATATAATTCTCTCTGCAATCGATTTTCTAAATAACTCGTTGTTACAATCAATTAGAAGCTTTCCTTTAATCTGTCCTATCGATTTTAACTTCACTCGAGAAAGAGATAGAGAAATAGAGAGAAAGAGAAAGAGAGAGAGAGAGAGAGAGAGAGAGAGAGAGAGAGTGAAGACAATTATTTTACTTTTCCCAATTAAAACAGCGTCTTCCCTTTTGGCTTTATTTTTCTTTTCTTATCTATTTTTCTTTTTCTCTTTCTTTGTCTTTTCTTTTTTTTTTCCTTACCCTTCTTATCTGTTTACATAGCACCGTTCCAAATTTTTATCACGAGTCTCTCTCTCTCACTCTCTCTCTGTCCTCCTTCGTCGAGTACTACTTTCTTATCTCTTTTTCTTAATTTTTTTTTTTTGCTTTCCTCCCCCATCCCCACCCTCAACCCCCCAGTCTCCTTTATATATATATATATATTTTTTTTTCCTCTCTCCCTCTCGTCTCTTCTCTTCTCTTTCTCCTTTTATTCTTTTCCCGCTGCTTTTTTTCCTTTTTCATTCCCTATCCAAATTAATTATTCAAATAGTTCGAAGAAAGTTACATTTTATTATTCTCCGCGGTAGTAGAAGGAGTGACGCGCAAAAATTACGCGGAGAAATACGATCGAGCAAGTTGTCGCATGCTACGCGAAAGAAAAGAGAACAGACAAGAAAAGAGAGAGAGAGAGAGAGGGAGAGAGAGAGAGAGAGAGAGAGAGAGAGAGAGAGAGTGAGTGAGTGAGAGAGAGTGAGTGAGCGAGTGAGTGAGTGAGTGAGTGAGAGAGGAAAGAGGAAGATAGAATATTGTCCACAACTTTCTTCGTGTCTTTCCTCCTCGTCATTCCACTTGCTTCCGAGCGTTTCCCCAACTTCTTGAATTAAACTTTACCGTAGAAGTTTCGAAGATGTGGTGAGTGCGTCTGTGAGTTAGAGTGAGTAAGAGAGAGACAGAGAGAAAGAGAGAGAGAGAGAGAGAGAGACAGAGATAAAGGGTAAGAGAAATAGAGATAGAGATAGAGAATGAGTGAGTGAGCGAGTGAGTGAATGAATGAATGACTGAGTGAGTAAAAGTGAGAGAGAGAGAGAGAAAGAGAGAGAGTGTGAGAAGATTGGTGTCATCGTGTAGTACGAAACATGCCTCGTCGAACGTTGTTGGTGCTTACATCGTATACACCATTCGTAGAAGTTGTAACAACACTGTAGCAACGTGCTATTACTTAAGCCAGCTAGCTCGAGTAATTGAATCAGATACTCGCGAGTGAACTCGCGTCTAGGGGTTTGTTCGTTATCTGCCTATTAAGGACGCACAGCTATCCGTTTGCTTGGTGGTGTTAGATCGATTAATAAATTAGTACGTATGTATTTATTTACTTTACTTTACTATACTGGTATTGTACTGTACTATATACTATTATATATACTGTACTTTA